AGCCAACTAGCCCAACAAGCAAGCCAATGGGTGTGCGAACCCGCTTTGTGGGCTCACGCTTGCACGTGTGGGTTATGTAGGGAAGTACTACAAATCTAACTTGTCCAGATATAGGCTACCTAAGATAGTATGATTTTAAAGGTTTTTATTTATGTTGCATGTGTTTTCATTCCCTACCTTCAATAATGGGTCACATATTAAGTATTTCTTAAAATACTGAAGTCATGTGCTACTCTTATATTTTAGGTAAAGGCAAGACAACCTAGTACGGTTGACGTCATAGGATAGTTGCATTTATTTTCGTCGATCTTACGTTATAAACGTACAAATTCATGGCCCGTTTTATAAATTTCTTTTAAATGAATTTTTGTGCAACTAAACCCTAAACCATTTGTTTTATAACTTTAATAATGATAGTATTGAAATTTTCAAAAGAATTAAAGCAAAATGAGAAGAAAGATATTGGAAGGTCTCCATCAATGCTTCAAAACCACACCTTTCTCCTCTCTCTTTTAAGGACACAAACCATCTCCTTTGAGATTTTTATCCAATCTTTTGACTTTTCAAAGAGTTGACTATTTCTAAATTTCAATTCCATTTCTTTTTTATAATAATTTTATTTTATTCACCATTTATTTTGAAACTAATAAATTATTATTATTTTAATGAAATAAAAGACTGCAATTTTGACAATATTCACTTGATTTAAAAGTCAAATACAATTTTGAGGGAAAGAGGAGAAACAATGATTAAGAAGGCATCTCATTCTTTTAATTAATTTTCATAACGAATTAAATAGTTTGAAAACAACGGTCAAAAAAGGCTGGTTAAGTGGGGTATCATAACTCCAAGTTTTTCCATTTATTGACCTTCATTGATATTAACAACGATGAACAATTAGAATGGTAATCACGACTTTAATTAACATAATACGGTCTTTGTTCTAACAAAATTTTAAATAAAAAAATAATTTCCATGACTAATCATGCTAATCAATCATCAAACAGTCTCAGTAATTCATTAATATTGTCGTAGTCGCACATTCAACCAAATTTTAAGGCATTCTAACCGTAAGTTCACTTATCTTATAAGAAATTTCTAGCAAGTTATAATCTTCATTTACTTCCCACCCATCCAGGTTCAACTCAATGAAAACTAAATTCACTATCAATAGTCACTGCATAAAAATAACATTGTTGGATTTGACTCACGATCAAAATATGTTGAACAAGTATAAGAGGCAAAGAAAAGACTTGAGGGGAGAGATCTTTTGGAACGAAGAAACATTAAACGCTTATCTTTTCATTTCTTTTGTAGTTGTAGTGAAATGAGTATATATCTCATTAGTATTTATAAGGGAGAAAGCACAAACTTCTAGTGTCAGGTCGGAAATGAAATGATTCAATTGGTAAAGTAGAGGATTGAAAATCCCCGTGTCACTAGTTCAGTTCAAATCTGCTATGAAAATAAATAAGGATAATGTGTCGAAAATGTAATGGTTGGTATAGCTCAATTGGTAGAATAAAGGACTGAAAATCTTCGTGTCACCGGTTTGCTATTAAAATAAGTCTAGTGTGTTGGAAATGGCCTGTATAGCTTACCGTTACTATATAAGTTAGTAACTTGTTCTACTAACTTAAGTTTATTAGCTCATAATCTCCTCCGTAAACTTGATTTTGTTCGAGATTCTTCACTCCCAACAATTCCCACATCTTTCCAAACTTAACCCTTGCTAGGACCTTAGTTAGAATATATGCATGTTGCTCTCTAGTGCATACAAACTTCACAACAATTTGACTCTTCTCAACACACTCACATATAAAGTAGAAGCGAGTGCAATGTGTTTGCTGCGTCCGTGAAATACCGGATTCTTCATTAGTGCAATCGCAAATTTGTTGTCGACGTAGAGAATTACTGACTTTAGTTCACTTCGCTGAACAAATTTCTCAGCCACAATGCTGGCACGATGTCGTAGTTTCTGCCATGAACTCGGCCTCACAAGAAGATAATGTCAGAGTTCGCTGCTTCTAAGATTGCCAAGAGATCAAATTTTCGTTGTGATAAAACGTCATTCCTGCGGTGCTTTTTCTATCGTCAATATTCTCAGCTAAATCACTATCGGTAAAACCAACTAGTTCTTCAAAACCTCGCCCTCTTTAATACTTCAACCCGTACGAGTATGAGTCAAATACCTTAGACTTTCGATGATGTGTTTATACTCGTTGGGATTCACCAAGCATCCATCAACATCTTTCCTGAGTTGTAACTTTGCTTCCATGAGATAATTAGTCAGGTTGCACTGCCATCTTAAATTGTTGCAACAGTGGTTTGAGAGAAATGTTGAACAACTCGTTGAATCCAACCAAGAAGAAAATGAGAGAGAAATGAGATCTTACCAATGGTGTTCGAAATGACACAAGAACGTTCAACACTAGACATAGAACGATAGTGGAAGCGCTAGCCTTGAACGGTGGTCGTTCAAGAAAGAAATGGAGAATGTAAAGAGAAATCCAAGAGAAAGAAAGCTCAAGGTTCCAAATTGAGTTGTGCAAATGATGGAGGATCCTTTTTGTTAAGAATATTTAATACTAAATTATAGTTTACCCTACATATCATATTTGATATTTTATTATAAGGATATTTGCTTTCGTACCCTTGTATCTTTTCATTTATTACTCTTTCATATCCTGGTAATTTATTTGATTATAAATAGATAACTTTCCCACCATTTAAGCAGGGTGAATTAAACAAACATTCTCGCTTTTCTACAAAGAAAAGAGATCGCTTCCTAATGATAAACCGTATGATTCTTAATCACCTTGTCAAATATTGCGTGGTTCACGTGTAGCTAAGAACAAGTTAAATTTGACCCATTTACCCTTTTTTGTTGCAATATATACACTTCATGATTACTTTTATCCTCGAAATATCTCAAACCTTGGAAAAGCTTGAGGTACACTTCATCATCATTTTGTATTCACATTTCCATGTTGCCTCCTCTAACCACTCGGCTACGTAAATGTTTTCACATTCCTATTTGGTTGTTCATAACTAATGTTTTTCTCTAAATGCACCCATTCGTAATCAATTGCAGAGGGCGATTCTATCATATACTTACATAATATCGATATGTGAAATAGCATAAAGAGAGAGTGATCGGGTCAAATGATAAATTACCGATTTAACTCACTTCAAACTCGGAGAATAACACGTCATGTTTGTTTGAAAATTTAAAAAGAATTAACCTTTCTTGGTATGACATATTTGTTTTCCCATTTTAGATAGAAAGTTGGTTAGTGAAAAAACGAAAAAGAAAAAAGGTTTGAGGGAAGGGATTGAAAGTGACACATAAACATGAAACTGTCTCTCAATTACGTGAACAAATTCCACACTCTCATTAAAAACACCTCTTTTGCCCATTTACCTTTTTACCCCTTCCCCATAAAATATAAAATTAATATTTTGGGAAAAAAAAACTACAAATAAAAACGAAAAACAAAATATGAGGGAAATTCTGGAAACAATTATGGTGTAGAAGTTTCTTAATCTACACTTCAAAAAAACATTATTGCCGACATAAATTAATTAAAACAAATTTATTTTCTTTTCCAGATAATATATTTTTTTGAAGGGTAAAAAGGTAAAATCAGTCTGTAAGGAGAGCCGTCTATAGTGGGAAAACTTGGAACGCCCAAAAGCGAAAGATGGCTCGGGGGGGGGGGGGGGGGGGGGGGG